GTGCGCCAATAAACCTAACAGTGAAGTTTGAATTTTGGACGGTAGCTTTGACTCTTAGGGAAGAAATTTTGAGAGAAATTCTCCCCGCCGCGTTGAGTCAATTTTTACTTACGTAATACGAAAAACTTGTCAACACTAAAACGTCAAATGATTCGTGAAATAATGGGAATTTCAGAAATTGTTCACAGCCTAGCCTGTGAAGAATATTCTCTATCAATTTATGTCGCTAATCCGCAACGACGTTGTGAAATTAACAAGGGCAGAGAGAGAGTATGAGAAATCCACTTTTCACTTGCGTGGAGGTACTGGCCACAACTATCGCCTCCCAGCCAATATTCTCCATCGTTGTCGTGCAACACTATGCAGACGTTGATGTTTCTCCTACAGCGGACGGAACATATATTTCATTATCATTTACTTAAATATGTCTTCTTTTTTATTGGGTGAGGTCTTTTACTTTGACTCTTTACTCAATAGAAGGGAGAGTATGCTTAGCAAGATTAAAGGATATGTAGTTTGGAAACAAGCTGAGACTAAGGTTACTTTTTCGTGGATGTCATCGTAACAGCAGCAAAACACCATGGAATTTATTCGTGTCAAGAAGCAATTAAGGAATCGAAGCAATTAAGCAATTCGAATCCCAACAAAGCATGTGGCCCGGACAACCTGTCACCTCGTATACTGAAGTTATTAGCTAATGAATTGTCTCCTGTACTTACCTTTCTTTTTCAACAAAGTTACGATTTCTGCAGGCTACCTGATGACTGGTCAAAGGCCTTGGCTACACCAGTATATAAGAAGGGTGGCAAGCAAGATCCCAAAATTACAGGCCCATTTCTTTGACTTGCATATGTTGCAAGATTATGGAGCGCATAGTACTTAGCCACGTCCACAAGCACCTGTCCACAAATAACATCCTTTTGTAAACACCAACATGGCTTTAGGTCCAGACTGTCTTGTGAAACGCAACTGGTCTCAGCCACTTCACGAGTGGGCCTCCATTCTTAACATTAAGGGTCAAGCTGATGTTATCAAACTCGATATCAGCAAGGCCTTCGACAAAGTATCTCATCCAAAGCTCTTACATAAGTTATGTCACTATGGTATTCTAGGCCAAACCTTATTATGGATAAAGGGTTTCTTAAGCAGCCGCTCCCAAAGTGTCAGTGCCACTGACGGCGTACACTCTACCCTGTGCAAGGTTATTTCAGGTGTTCCACAAGGGTCCGTCTTAGGCCCCACGCTTTTCTTGGTGTACATAAATGACATCGTGGGTGACATCAAGTCAAATATTAGACTCTTTGCTGACGACACCATTATGTACCGACAGGTTGTATCGCCTGCGGATCATCTTATCCCTCAACAAGACCTTGACAGACTAACTTCATGGGCCTGTCTTTGGCAGATGGAGTTTAATGTTAAGAAATGCTACCACATTTCCTAGACCAACAAGCGAACCATTGTCATACTACCATATTACATGCATAGTCAGGTCTTGGAACATGTAACTTCCTATGATTATCTGGGTGTTAGATTAACGAGCAAGCTAAATTGGAAAGAACACTGTGATAAAACTTCCAACAAAGCCAATAGGGCTCTCGGGCTGGTCAAACGGACTTTACAACCGTGTACGCCTGAAGTCAAGGAAAGAGCCTACAAAGCAATTATTCGACCTTTACTAGAATATGCAACTGCTGCCTGGAATCCACACATAAACAGGGACATTGAAACTATCGAAAAAGTCCAGCGACGGGCTGCTCGTTTCGTCGCGCATAATCACAAGAGATCTACAAACTCACAAGATCTTGTAAATCAACTTGGTTGGGACTCCTTGGAATCCAGACGTTTGCTGGCCCAAGTGACTCTTTTTTGTAAA